AGATGGTCCAGCCCTAACTCGTGTATCGGTAGTTGATGACAAACTTAAAGTTCTTTATGATTCGTATGTCAAACCAGACCTGCCAATAACAGACTATTTGACTGAGTATATATTATATATTTATGGATGATATATATAGTGAAATTATAAGGATTAAATAGTAAATTTTATTTCCGTTAGATTTAGTGGAATAACCGAGGAAATATTGCATGATGTTACTGTTACCATCAAAGACGTTCAAACTCAGATTAGTGAGTTGGTCGACAAAAACACTGTTTTGGTGGGACATTCTCTTGAATGTGACTTGAAAGCATTGCGGGTACCGAATATTTCATAAAATTATATAAAATTTTGATACTATTAGTGAAATTAACCGTGAATTTTTATGTTTTATTGTATTAGTTTGCACATCCATTTATAATTGACACGTCAATTCTTTATTCTGACCCCCGCAATTCATACAAACCAAAGCTGAAAAATCTTGCAAAAATGTGGCTTAATAAAAATATCCAATCTAAGGGACCTCGTGGACATGATTCTATTGAAGATGCTATGACTTGCATGGATCTCCTAAAAATGAAATTAAATCGAGGTAGTTTATTTCGCTTAAATCTTAAACATTATTTAGCACATTACTGTTCCTTGTAGATTATTTATTTATGTTCGTATATATAGGCCTGGATTTTGATAAAACTCATGAATCCATTTTTGAACGTATATATCGTATGACGGGCAGTACGACTGCAGTTGTAGATCGCGAAGCTAAAACTGATTTATATGTAGATGGAGCTAAAAAGGTTGTGACTTGCAAAACAGATGATGAAGTACGTAAATTCCTATTTAGAAGATGCGCTTTTTTTTAAAGCATAAATTTACGAGGTAGCAATTTTAGGTGTTGGATGCCTTAATAGAAATAATAAGCAACGACCAAAATATTTTATATAACTTGGTATTTGGACGATTTCTTGACCTTAAAACTCTTCCTAATGATATGGATGGACGAATTAGTCTTGTGAAAAGGCTTGGTGAAAGAATTAATA